CTGGTATCATAATGAAACTCCGACCTTATGAATATCCACTTTGAAAGGGAACGTAAAGATCTCAGTTTACGGCCTCACAAAATCCAACATGTGCAAGAAGAAGAATTCAAGTCGAACGACCATCAACCACCTCGCATGTTTTGTGAATGACCAAGATGACCAACGATTCCGGTTTCCACAATAAAACCACTTTCCACTTTTATCAAAAAGGTTACGTTAACAAAAAAAAAAATGGCGTAGTTTGAGTGATGATAATCAACAATACATTGTTAAGACATCGTTACATCCTCAAAAACTCAATGTTTGGTGTACTCGATGGGAAATATTGGTCCATGTTTCTTCAGAAAAGAAGACGGCCATAATGTTACACACAACAGGGAACGCTATAGAGTATTGATTAATGACTTTTTTTGTATTTGAATTGAACGAAGTTGATGTGGACGATCTTTGGTTCCAACAAGACGGAAGTACTTGCCATACAGCGAATGAAACCATCAATTTGTTGAAGGAAGGTCGCGTTATCTAGCGTCGTGGGAAAAAGAAGTGGCTTCCAAGATCGTGCTATTTAACACTGCTGGTCTATTTTGTGGGGTGATGTAAGGTCGCTTGTCTAAGCAGATAAATCCCAGACAAATTACGCTTGGAAGAGAATATTCGGCGCGATGTTGCTGATGAAATTGCTGCAAAAACTCGAAAATTGTTCCACTCGACGTCAATCTGATCACCAGCCGCGACGGTCACTTGAATTAAATCCTTTTTACGACTTAATATCAAACCCTTACCTTTATAGTAAGGCTAAATTCTTAGCTTATGTACGTTCTACTTCTTCGTATAAAGTACATGTCTACAAAGACTACCTTAATTATATGTATTTCGTCAAGACGGTTAAATATTTAAAATTCTTTATAACTCCAAATTCTATCTAACTCCTTTTGGGTTGCCTGGCTTATTTCAATAGGAATCGTGATGTTTTACTCACATGTGAAAAACTCTGACAATAGGCGATGGCTATTAGAAAGAAACTTTTTATATTGCTTATTAAGGCATTGCCTTTGCTGCAGTTCGAACTCAAAAATTCCGGAGAATCCGACAATAAATTTGATCAGTAACAAAAATATACTGTACACTTACGAATATCTGTCCAAATTCTCTGGAATTAGCAGTTTGATACCAAAAAGTGTCGCTCTATCGCGAACGGGATTAATATCGGGTTCAAATGTTGTTCGGATCGTACATCTCTAATTTTAACTAAAAGTGAAGTAAAGTGGAATAACAATCAAAACAAAAGTGAGCTTCATGTTACACATATTTTCCCATATATACCATGTATGTATATTTATGTATATACCTATATGTATAATATATACATATGTATGTATGTATATAACGACATAACGCCTTAAAAAGAACTTTGCATAAGTGATAGTGTCTTCCAAACCAAAAACCCATATCGCATTCGGTACAAAAAAGGCAAGCCCAACAGCGCACAAACAAAGTTCGTCAACACAACTTCCAATTACATACTGACATTTGTATGTTCGGAGAAATAAGAGTAAAAATAATAAAACGAACAGAAAAACACCAAAACGGAACGACCCATTGTGTGAGGGTTTTCCCCCCAGTGCTGGGAAAAAATCACCAAATCACTGAAGAGCGGGCAGAGAGCACTAACCGCTTTGGCGATAAAAATAGAGTGACTTAAAACACTGGTAAGACTAGTTACTGACATTAGCATGGCTGAGAAGACAGGCCAATACGACGAAACGCATACAAAGCAAAAAAAACAAAGCAACAACAGCAAAGCCATATTAAGCGCTACAGGCTTTCGAACCCTACGGAACAACAACAAAATGCAAAAAACAAAAAACATTTTTCAACTTCAAATTTTATGAGTAAGAAATTGTAAAAACACAACACAAACAAATTATTAAGCTTTTTCCGAACGCTGAACGCGGCGTTCGGTGGAGCAAACAGCACAAAAACAAAAAAACAGCGACGTCGATAGCCACGTGAGCGCCAACAACGCTGAGTAAGGAGTGTGTTAGGTGTGCTGGTTGTGAGCGCACTTGCCAACAATTGAGCTGCGCTCACAGCTGGAGCGATGTGGAGCAACAACAAGCGATTGGGTTTGGTCGCCAGCCTGCCGATCGTGCGCTCATCCCATGAGCGGCATTTAAATATTTGTATGTTACCTCTAAATATGACTAGCTTCGACTCGCCGTTTGACGGCGGCCGATCGTTGCGATTTCAATGCGCTTTTGCGGTCGCGGTCACAGCCACAGACCGTCAACCATAAACAGTACCGCAGTAGACGTTTAGAAGAAAACACTGGAACACGCTGAACTCGTCGTCGTCGCTGAGCGAAAACCCCAGTTTGAACGACAATTATCACGACGAAGCTACAGAAAAAACAAAAAGAAAAAAACACAAAAACAGAAAGAAAGAAAGAAAGAGAACAGACAGTAAATAAATAATTAAAATGATATTAAGTCTATAAAGGCAATAAGCGCGCATATTGATTAAGCACAATACGGCTACGCTACGGTACAGTTTCGGGTTGCGGAAATGTGTGGAAATACCGTAATCAATAAAATTTAAATTCCATAAAGACGGCTAAGGCGATACGAACGCTCATAGCGAAAGGGGAGTGCAATCAATTTTGTGTGCTGCTTTTTTTTTTTTTGTATTTGTTTTTTGGTTTTGGCTGATTACGAGTAATCAATGACATTTAATGAAACTTACATATAGACATATACAAACAGACATATTTTCATGCGCAAAAAAAATAAAATAAATAGTACAAAGTGCAAAGCAACAAAGCAACGAAGCAGCCTTTGCCAACGTGAAGCAAGAAAGTGTAAAAATATGGAAATTCGTTATTAATATTATTAAGCAAATAAAGTAAAATACTGAGATACAGTAGAGCGGGAAAACAACAACAAAAACACGTTGAATGCCAAAAGAACTTGCAAAAAAGCGACATCAACGGGAGTAATGAACACCAAAATCGAATAAAAAAAATACAATAACAAAAATAAATAATAATAACAACAACAACATTAATAATATAAAATAACAACAACAAAAGTAAGAAAAAAACTTGCGAAAAATCGGCAACAATAAAAGCAGATAATAACGAAGACGGTAGGAAAAAAATACAACAACAAAATTATCGAAACTTGCAAAAAGCGGCAAAACTATAGGAATTAATTAACATCATCATAGAGAAAAATTATCATAAAATTATAACAAATGAAACAAAAAACTTGCAAAGAGCAGCAAATATTGCGTATTAAATTTAAAACCAGAAATTAAAAGGAAAAAATACACAACAACAACATTAGTTTACAACAACAACAAAATTACAACAATTATAACAAAAACTCTTACAAAAAGCAGACAATAAGGAATAAATATCGAAGTTGAAAAGAAAAATTATACAACAACAACAACAACCTACAACAACAACATATATTCGAAAAGAGCTCAAGAAAAGCAGCAAATTAGCATTAAAAACCAAAATCCAAAAGGAAATTTATATAACAACAATAATAGTTAACAACAACAACAATAGTTGAAAACAACAAATATACGAGAAGCGCCGACAAATATCACCGAAAAAAACTATAAATACCGAACTGAAAAAAGAAAAAATATACAGCAACAACAAGATATTACAACAATAAAAAATTACAATAACAAAAAATTAAAAAAAACAGCAATCACCAGCGAGATAACGTACAAAATTGCATAGCGACTGCTGGTCGGTCGACACTGCCAAAGGGTTGCGGTGCGCGAAAATGGTTGAATTTTAACAACACAGCAGCAACAACAATACAACTAAAAGCAACGCTAAATAAATAGAAAAGCAATAAGTGCAAGCAACAAGTGAGAATATGCACAACAACAACAACAACAGTAACAAAGCAGCAAAATAGATTATATAAGTAATTTAATAATAAAAAACAAAAGGAACAACAACCAAAAACAAAAGCAACAAAAACCTGTAAGTTCTGCGGTCGCAAGTGTGAAAATGCTGCAAAGCCAATTACATACTACTTAGTCAGAGCTGCGGTACGGACGCAAGTGGCGGTGAGAAGCGCCAAGTCACAAGCGAAAAAATCCAGCCAAGTGGCGCAGACGAAGAAGAAGCTGGCAAATAACGAATGCAAAGATATTTGGCTACATCTGAAGCAGACACGCGATTTATTAGCGGTTAAGGGCTGATGCGGTGCGCGGAGCCAAACACTGGGAGTTTGGCTGGTAAAACAAGTCACCGTGACCGGAGCACGTTGTGGCAGCGTGCAGCTGCTGAATGTTATTGGGAAGCAGTTTTGCGAAGCAGCGGCAATAACAATAATAATAAAAACAAAAATAATAATAACAACAACAATAACGATGGCATAACAATAGTAATTAAAGCAATTTTGTGATATAAGCTGTGTAAATGAGAGCATTATACAAAAGTGATGTTAAATAGAAACTCGTAATAATTTGTGTTTTTAATTTGAAAAAAAACAGAAATGAATAACAAAAAAGTAAAAAAATATAAAAATTGAGAATAACAACAACAAAAATTTATAACAAAAACAAAACAATAATAACAACAAAAAAATATAACAACCAACAAAAAAAAAAAAAAGATAACAAAAATTATAAAAACAAATAAAAATAATAACAAAAAATTTAACTCAAAAAATATATAAGAAATAATACAAAAAAAAAAAATAACAAAAAACTATTTTTGTTTTTGCTTCGGCACGAAAATTTCCAGCGAACAGTGACAGCGAAGCTGGCTTACAGTCATTAATTGCGTTTTAGAAGCAAGCAAACAAACTGTGAAAACGCTTTTTTGCGCTTAATTTCCGAAAGAAAGTGTGTTTAAAACCAACTCGGCAATAAGCAGATTATTAAAAACAATAAATTGGTGTGAAAAAAAATATTAAAAGTAAAAACAACATAAAAAATAAGAAGAAAAATAAATAAGAAAAAAGAAATAAAAAATAAAAATAAACTAGAAAAATTAATATTAAAAAATAAAAAATAAAATCTACATCAATTTGAACTGGAATAACTGTAAACAATTGACATTGGTGCTTGCAACAGCAAAACCAAGCAATAATTAACGCAACACTAACAACAACAAGTACAGCGAGGCAACTGGTCAGTTAGTCAGTCAATCGAGTGCGCTTTAAGCGACTAACGCTGCACACTAGTACAACAATAACAACAACGATAGCAACGCACAAACCGGTTTGTCGTGCAAGGTCAACCGACTAACGCCGCCAAATAAAGCGACTAGGAAAGCGAACGCAACAAATCATACAAACATTTGTACCGTTAAACAGACTCGAGCAGTAGGCGAATAGACACGCGCTTCCGAAAAAGTAAACCGAAAAAAAATTCCATAAAAAAAACACTTCAAATCAAATCCTTTGTGACAAGCGCCAAAATGGACACGACACTCACCACCTGGTTCAGCTGCAATGAGGAAACACAATGTTACGACACAAACAACAACAACAACAGTAGCAACCAAACACACAATGCGAGTAACAATATGTACAACAGTCACAGCAATAACAATGACAATAGCAATAGCACTAATTATGCCAACACAACTGACGTACAAGTCACATTTAATCAGCGCAGGCCGAACGAACTACGCCAGACGCGTTTGCAACGTCAGCACGAGCAGCTGCATTACTCGTCGTCGTCGTCGCCGATACCAACACAATTAGTGCAATCACCTGACACGCTAAGTGCAACGCAAACTCCAGTGGCACAGCACGCGAACGCTGAGAAGTCCCGTTCCCCGAGCTTAGCACAACGTTGGACGCGTCGCAAGCGTTTGCAACGACAGAAACCCACCGAACTGGACGATGCCGATTTTGCCTATGCCGCCGATCTGGAAGAGGAGGATGAAGAGGAGGAGGCGCTGCTCAAACAGCAACAACAGGCGTCCACCATGTTCAATGTAACGCCGCTGATGAAGACAATGTGCATGACGGAGCTACCGGCTCCTACGTTTGCGGAGAAGCGCTTGAGCCACTTCCAGCAGCAACATCACAGCACACCATTCGATGGACAGCCATCATCCTTGCCGAACTGCTTTGCAACCGCCGGTTCGATCAGCACCTTCCATCAACAACAACACCATCAACAACATCACCATCAGCACCAGCACCAACAGCAACAGAATCATCATCATCATCACCAAATGCATCAGCATCATATACGCGAGCGTCGCCTTAAGCATGAGGAGTCCTTCGACTCGTCGACCACCACAACAACCAACACCACCGATACGCCAGCCAGTCCGGCGAGTCCGTTGTTGCGTCGCCATCATTTTGCCATGTTGAAACGTGATAATTCCACACACTCGGAGTCGTCGAGTCGTTACTCGAGTGTGGATAGTTTATTGGAGGCGCGCAAGCCCGATCCCGAAGCTATATTAATCAATTTGGGTTTCGGTCCGGTCGGTTCGGAGGACATACTCTCACGCATACCGAAACGTTTTCTCAAGCCATCACAGGTGCGCGGCATCGATACAGAGGCTTTCGTGCGTCGCCTACAATTGGCCAGCAATCTTGCCGATCACAGCGTGCTGGGATATCGTGGTCTCACCGGCAATCCGGATATACCGCCATCGCGTATTGTCGCCAAAATCATGCAACGTTTCGAGGTGAATGAGCGCAAAAAGTCAATGGGCTCCATTGAGCATACCATCTGACGGCGTACGGCGTCGGGTCTGCCGGAATTCATTCGTTCTCACCAGTGCCAAATAAGTACTTTTATGTGTTAACCGAACGGAATATGTTGTTACTAAATTAATAATATTATATTTAAATACAATTTTATATCACTTAAATAGTTTTAGTCGGTCCAAATCTAGTTATTGGTAGTTTTAGTTATTAATTAAAGCGAAAAAGAATATTGTAATTTGCCATTGTACTTAACATCGGTTGAACTTAATTAAGCGAATATATTGACATAAAATTGTTACTTAATTTATTCTTTTTAAAATAAATTTTAATTTTTTTAAATTTTGAAAAAATATGTGATAATTTTTTACTGTGACTTAATGATTATTACAAGGGTTCCTTTGGTTCTCCTGCAATTTAATGGTGAAGGTGTTTTACAGTTTCGGAATAACACCAAAATGCATGCAGAACATTTTCGTTAGAAAATATGACATAGAATTCAGTAGACGGGAAAAAAAGTAGTTAAAGCAGAAAAGAATCCCAAAATAATTTTAACGATTTGTGTCAAGTTGACAATACTTAGCCGGCGAAGAATCTGGGTCCGTTTCGGTTACGTTGACACGACTTTAATAGGAACGGAGTTTTCTGTAAAACCCTATCTTCCCGATTTTTCTCATTAATTCCGATTAATCTTAATACAGCGCTCTTTCACTCTCATTTTTGGAGGTTATTTCTTTCATTTTATAAGAGATTGGAGTATCGAGCGCTCCTCTCTTTAAGAATAATGATTTGCTATGTATGCTTTCAATAGTCAAAGAAACAGCTTTTGGTCTATTTCGCGAAATCTTTTTGTTTTCCATTACTCAAGGAAACAGAATTAGTTAAGCTGCGAATTTTGCTTATTCTTATTTTAATAAAAATATGTGCTTGTCTTCCTTCTTTCTACCAACTTTCATTCTTACATCCGTCTTCGGAAAACAACTTCAAGTGATAACACTTGATCGACATTAAATTATTAATTTCTTAGGGGCTAACGTTTGTTATTATAGTATACGTCATGTTAATAGCAAAATTTTGTGAGTTCGTTGACATTTCACTCGTCAATTGTAAGATAACTATAGCGACATGCTTTTCTTTTTATTATTTGTATTTTTGCGATCAGCCGAGTATGAATTTTTTCAATTTTTTCAACTTTTGATATATTGGATTGTTCAGTAAGTAATTTCGTTTTTTTTTTTTATTTTTATTTTTTTTTTTTTTGTATTTTTAACACGACTTTTTTAATGTTTAACGTCATCGGTCGCCTTAGACTTGTTTCAGCTCTCTCTGGAGTTGTTATTACAACGATTTGAATCGACGAACGACTTCATTTTATCTACATATATATGCTTCTAAAAGCCATCCAGAAAGTGGGGTATTCTAAAGATCGAATTCGGAACGAAATTATGGCATAGGTGTTCGAGTACTAAATCTTCGCCGCAAACATCACATAACTTTAGCCTCGCTTAAACTCTATTTTTACCGTTTTGTTAGTAAAACAGTGTTTTCGATATTCCATCTTCGAAAGGCCACCAAACAAAAACTATTCCAAATAATTAAAGAAAATGTTTCACAAAAAAGCCTTATTATAATAGCTGTTCGGATATATCTATAACTGTAAAGCGACTAAGTAAGAAGTTGGCTGCGAAAAAAATCAAGAAGATCAGCTTTCGTCATCAAATGAAATTTTTTAATGAACGCGCCAATAACTGATTTTAGTAATTCCCTCTTTCAAGAGGACCTCGTTCGGTGCCAGTGATTCTATGAACTTGTGTTAACGTAAAAGAACTAAAGAAAAGTTTACTTTTTTAACGAACAAAACAATTTCGAGCAAAATTGCTTTAACAATTTCTTGCCGGGGCTGACTGACCGAAAAGCTTCGTCTCTATAGCGAATCGAAAAAGGATCAATTTTTTTACATATTATATTGTTTCAAATACATTTTATAATCATAAAAACATTAAACAGTTGAAACCAAAAACCATTTTCATTTTTTTTTTACTATATAATGGCCTTAAAACGCATCTTTATTGCTCTAAGTGCCAGCTATGATCGCTTTTTTTTATTTCGAGCGAAGGTATGTAACAAAACAGTGTGCTCTTAACCTGTTGAGAATTAAAATGCATCCATGAAATTGTTTTCAGGCAGCTGGATTTGGAACAGACCTCACGATTCTTGGTTGGTTATGAGTACAGAATCCCTCGGGAAGCCTCCTGGATCTGTCTCCTCAAATTAACCATATTTCCAATTTCTTCATTCATCGAATTTGCTATTAAATGGAATAACTGCGTTGCAAAGCGTAGAAGCCTAACATTTATTGGTTCAATTGGCTGCTATTTCCATAGACTACCGCTATTTTTGCCTACAACCCTTCGCCACACATTTCCACATACTCGTACAATTGCTTAAAAATAAACACGGCAATGCCTTAAAATAGAAATTCAGACAATAACTTGCACAAATTGCACACAAAGGGGGGTATTAGTTAAAGAAAAATAAAAATATCATACGCCAACAACAAACAATAGCAAGTTACGTGCGCCGAGTGTTTGCGAGTTCAAAGCAAATGCTCTCTTATCTCATCGAAGGTATCGACGTCAAAGGCCAAGAATGCGTAAACGGACGAATGTTACGATGTTTGTCGCTACAGCAGCGATGAACAAACAAATAAATTCATAAAAATCATTATTTCTATGAGCGGTTGTATAAGTGTGTATGTTTTGTGCGTATTTAAGAAAGTCAATACATAAAAACCACGCCCATATTTTCATACTCACCTTTACATATGTATGTATTTGCATGTTACATACATACATATATGTATATATATTTATGTAAATAGTATACATACATATGTGAACTTTCTTGTAAAATGCCAGGAATGTGTAAAATCACTGAAGGCTTCTTCGTCTATTTCGTCGGCGCTTCACGGCAATTGCCAATTAGCGTAAATGAATTTCAACTGCAAGCGATTGCATTGCGAACAATCACTGGCAATTGAAAGTAATCATTAAGCGTCGCTGCAAAACGATTTCTGGAAAGCGATATGATAAGTGCACGAACTGACATACTTTCAAGCATAAATGTGCTAGCCCATTAATGCCAAGATATGGCGATATGCATGTATTAGGGTGAGCGAAAAACTAGCCCATCAAATTTTTCCTATGAATTCGAAATAAACTCACTGAGGACTCAACAGTGAAAAAAATGTGTACCAAAATTTTTAAATCTTTTAAGACAAATTTTTACACCCTCGAAAAAAGTAAGCGGAAATTGTAAATAAAACGCAATTTTTTTAATTTTTCAACAATATTTATTTTGTCGCCTTCAAAGTAAGCCCCAACATATGAAATACACTTATGCCAACGATTTTTCCAGTTCTCGAAACTCTTTTCATAAATACCTTTTGGGATGGCATTCAAATACTTCAGCGAATTTTGTTTTATCTCTTTGATCGACTGAAAACGGGTTCCACGGAACGGTAATTTCAGTTTGGGGAACAAGAAAAATCACACGGAGCCAAATCTCGTAAATATGTTGGTGGACTTGCTTGCATGTCAAGCTCATAAATGCATGTCTTATCGGCGGTTATAAAGCCCTCCATGAATGTGAGATCGGAATTATCATGATCAAGCATGTCCAAAAAGATCAGTTACGGTATTATTTTTGAAAAAAAAAATCATCTTATATTCATTTATCGAGACGAGTCGAGCAAGAACGCGTTTCATACACAAAATATCCACAAAAATCATTCAAGGAGACTCGCGAGAGATTTCAAACTCTTTTGTCATCTCTCTAACACCTGCCTGACGACTTTCAAGCGCCATACCCTTCACTTTTTAATATTTACATGAAGATGTTGTCTAGAAGAAGGGATATCTTCAGCGATCTCTCGACCGCCTTTGAAGACTTTGTACCACTTGTATTTCTGACAAAACTGAATCACCGTAATCCTTCCAAGATTCGCAACAATGTCACACATGAAATTTGGTTAGAAATATAAAATTTTAGACAAATTATTTTTTCGATATTTTTATCCATTTTAAAAATCGCAAAGCACTACTACGGTATACCGTCTTAAGCAGCGGCTGTAAACAAACTGGTTGACAGGTCGCGCTCATATTTGGCATCGGAATTACGGACAGTCCTGGCAACTAAGCAAAATACATTTTTTTTTTGAAATATCATTTACCCGGAGGTCCGGTGACCGGACCGTCCGTTCGTCTGTTCGTACAATCAATAACTTGAGTAAAACTTGAGATATCTTGATAAAACACTTCAATCCCTTGGCACCCATATGTATATTGTTATGTATATTGCAGGCGTAATCATTGCCACTCCTACAAAATGCTATTAAAAGAAAAACTCTAAAGTGCGATAACCACGCTCTTTCTCCATATAATAGTTATCTTGAAAATTATTAAAAGTTCGATGATTCACAGAATGAATTCGCCACAAGCAATACATTTCACAATCAAGGTAGGGAAAGCTTGTATGGATTCGCTTGTAAAAAATTTTTAGATGAAATCTTGGTGAGAGAGATTGTCCCAAAAATGTACGAAGTCGGACAATGACTTTTAAAGAACCAGGCACCAAATATGTGGACCCAAGTATCTATGACTGACTTTTTACCGAAAATATCGGTCAATATGTGAGATCTAGCAATGGAATTCGGATCGAATATTTTTAAAATTGTAGCTTTGCCTTGTGCAAAAAATGGTTAAAATCAAGTCAATAATTCTCCAAGTTTAATATAAAGTTTTACCAACACCTCAGGGTATTTCCCCGCCTTAGATCTTTTTGGGAGAATAAAATGTTCGGTTACATCCGAACTATGGTCATTCTAACTTGTTGCATCGTCGATTCTTGTACAGCATGAAATTTCTTAAAACTGCTTTTTAATTTTAAAAATTTCACTGAGTTAGATTGTTCTGCTTGTTTTAGGTCACCCTAGTATTTACTTTGAATATGTATGCAAAAAAAATGTTTGCCAAAAAGATGAGGCAAATACTCAGGTTATGTGCGGCTAGTGTTTTGGAGTACGCAGCAGAAATAAGCACTTTTGAATACTCCCCTTATTAACCCTATAGTGCCTAAATATTTTTCAGAAAAAATATTTGGATGGATGGTATTTTTTAGAGGAAATTAATAAAACAAACATTGAACACAATCTTATACCTCTCTTAAAACCAACCGATACAACAGTTCGACTTACATAAATACCTACAGAACGAAAAATCAATCAAATTTATTTATGACGTAATTTATTTTCCATAGTTGATAAAAAATTATAAAAACAAAAAACCTTGTAAATTT